TTGTGTTTTCAATGATTCGCCGCGTTCGCACGGGGAAACCCTAGGCAATTTGATACAATTTTGTGCTCTCGTTGCGGCCTCTCTGCGACGGGGGCCGAGAAGACTTCGGCGCGGTATTTGCGGGGCGCCCCGCGGGGCAACGAAAAGCGCAAGGGGGGGTCCTTGCCTCCGCTTTCTCGGGGCCTTGCCGCTTTCCCTTTTCTGGATTATGTCCGGCAGTTTGCGCCGGGGGGGGGGGTCGCGTCGACCTTGGAACAGGGGCGCCGCCTCTTGAGGTTGGGCGCATTTGGGCATTCCCCGAGCGCCCGAGGCAAAGGGCCCGAGACGCACCGCCCCTGCCTCTGCCTCTGCGCGGCGCCCCCCCCGCCCCGCGCCGACTCGCGGCGATGTCCGCTGACCTGCAACTGCTGTACCGCCTCTCGGCGAGTACGTGGAAGGTGGCCGCGGGCTGCATTTGCAACGCCCCCGCCCCCGCCCTCGCGGTAGATTGCCATCTGTAGCAATGCGTGAGTTTGCTGGTGTTCCCCAGGGCGAGTGGGTCGATGTGAAGACCGCCCACTGGCCCAACTTCGTGGTGAAGGGCAACCCCGGCGCGGACGATGGGGCCATGTTTGCGCGCGCCGCTGTCGCGCACGTGGCGAAGCTCACCCCGGTCGGGTACGACCGGGTGTGCAGCTTCAGCTGGTCGCCCGCGCTGGCCTGCGGGCGCTTGGTCGACCTGGCAGCGACCGGGGGGATATCGCGCGCCCCCGTCTCCTGCCCCATCGGCAATAGATATGACCCCCGCCTCTGTCATCGACGCGGGCCGGCATTGTGGCCAATCGGCGCCGGGGGGGGGGGGGCCTGCGGGGGTAGCGAGCGCGATATCGACGCCAGGCACACGACGCCGGCGTTGACTTGAGCCACGACATGATGATGCACGTGGCCGTCAAGGACGGCGTTGCGCAAATTAGCATTTAACTGTCTAGTTAAACACGATTAGTACGCACTCGACACTCCTCACTTTTTCCTCCGAGCGGTCGCCAGTGATGTCTGTCGCCTCCTCCTCATCCTCCTCGCCCCTTTGCCAGGAGGGCGACGGCTTCCTGGACCTGTCCACCATGGGCTGCCTCGTCCGCGCCTGCCAGGGCTGGGAGGCGGGCGATTGGACTTGGAAGGGCATGGACATGTGGCGTGTCCAAGACTTCGCCGTCAAGAAGTTGTCAGAGGTCTGACTGTTCCAATCGATCCTGGGGGGGGGGGGGGGGGGGGCATCTTTGTCTGTAGATGAGATAACCGAATGCGGGGGTCGAGTCGACCGGGGCGATCGACGCCGATCCGAACGCCCTTTCCCCGTCGATTGTCGAATTGTTCCTGCGATGAAAGCGATGGCGAACCTATCCGCAGCGAGTGTCCGTTGACCCGGCCGCCCGGCCACTGCCGCGCCGCCGCCCCCCCGTCCCCCCTCTCTGCGCAGGTGGCCGGCGACCGCGCCAAGCTCCCGGAGAAGCGCTTCGCGACGCTGCGCCCGGCGCTGGACTTGCCGCGCGAGCTCGTGCTTCTCTGCGGCCGCACGCAGTGGCACAAGCTCGACGCCGCTGGCCTGCAGCGCCTCGACGCGGACCTCAGGAAGCACATCCTGGCGCTTGTCGAGGATTGCGAGGGGGGGCAGGCAACGACGCAATCCCCTTGCGGTTGATCAGACGGCATCGCCGCGAGCAGGGCGGGCTTTTCTCCTCTGCGTCGGCCGGGGAGTGGCGCCTCCGAGAACCAATTGGTCCGCTGAATGTTTCTCGCGGCGCCCCTCCTGGTGAGCGGTGAGGTCGCCCCAGTTAACGCGGGGGGATCGCGCGTTGACCCCCCCCCCCCCGCAGGACCAGCTCGCGCAGCCGCGCTGAGGTGGGGCCGGCCGAGCCGACCGTCGCGGCGAATCGCCGCGCTGGCGGCGCTGCGTGGGCAGCGCCACTTGTATATGTATACATTGCACCGCTGCGTTCCTGTCGAACGCCCGTTCCCTATCCACGGTCTGCCTCCTCCTTCCTCATTCAGGCTTCCTTTCGTCCTTCCCCTCGCCCGCCATCGCCGCCCCTCGCCCTTTTCGCCTTGCTCGGGCCTCCTCGTGTGACGTTGCTGCGCCCCCCCCCCGGCCCATAGCGCCTGCCCCGACCACCTTTGCCTGGCCTGATCACCCTTGCGCCCCGCGCGTCGGTCGACGCATCGAGGGGGGGCGATTGCGCCACTTTCTGTGTTGCGAACGCCTGCTCCTTCCCCTCGCCTGCCTCCTCCCTCATCCAGGCATCGCTGCGTTCTTCCCCTCTCATGCCAGATTCCCCATCGCCGTCCCCCGCCCTCTTCGCCTTGCTCGGGCCCCTTCGAGCGACGCCGCTGTCTCCCCCACCGGCCCATAGCGCCTGCTTCGATAACCCTTGCCTGGCCTGATCACCCTTGCGCCCAGCGCGTCGGTCGACGCATCGAGGGGGAGCGACTGCGCCACTTTCTGTGTTGCGAACGCCTGCTCCTTCCCCTCGCCTGCCTCCTCCCTCATCCAGGCATCGTTGCGTTCTTCCCCTCTCATGCCAGATTCCCCATCGCCGCCCCCCGCCCCCTTCGCCTTGCTCGACCCCCCTCGAGCGACGCCGCTGCCTTCCCCTCTGGCCCATAGCGCCTGCTTCGATAACCCTTGCCTGACCTGAGCGCCTGCCGAGCCGCCCTCGCGCGCAGGGCCGGCGGCGGCGGCGATCTTCATCGCGACGACGATGCTCGGCGGCGACGTCGGGGCCGCAGGCGCGCCCGCCGCGCCCGCATGGCCGACCGCCGCTGCATCGCCGTCGCCGCCCGACGTCGGACATCTCGCCCCGCCCGCAGTTTTGCGCGCGCGACTGTTGAAAACGCGTGCGCTTTCCCCGTGCGAACTCGCTTGGAAGTCAAAAAACCTTAGTGATTTGGACCGTTTATCTGTTCAGTGGCTGCACTCGGTGTGGTTTTCGTTTGACGTGGGTCGCCGCGTTCACTGTGAATGTACGTTTTCCTATTGGTTTTTGATGAATCCAGCGAGTTCGCACGGGGAAATGCATGTGTTTTTTGTGTGTTGATCCTTCGTCGTGGCGCCTCGTCCCCTGGGTCCCTCCAGAGAGCTCGCATTGCTGCGCGACCGACGCGATGTCTTGGACTTTGGGTTCGCGGTCGGCCGCTGGATGCCGCTGCGAGCCACCCCGGATCACTGGAGAGCACGATGGAGGCTTCTGGGGGTTCGCCAGGAGCTGCCAGAGACCGCGGGGGGACACTGGGAGCGTTGAGGCGCCGTCCGGTAGCTGCTCGGGCTCAATTGTGCGCCCCGGCAATTCGGACCGTCGAGCTCCCTCCCCTCGCCCGCAGCCCCTGGCCCGCGGCGCATGGCGGCGCTGAACGACGACCTCTTCGAGTACGCCGAGTTCCAGGTGGACGAGCAGGACCCGAACCAGCACGTGGACTGGAAGCTGCTGCCGATGCGGCAGGCTTACCGCGTCTGGGCCGGCGAGGGCACGATGTACCTGGGCAGCATGCACGACGGCCTCTACAAGTACCACCTGACGCCGTGCGTGGCGCCCTTCATCGCGGACCACGGCCTCGTGTGGAAGCCGACGAATGGATCCCGGCCGTGGGCGCCGCGCTGCGCGCGGACCCGATCGATCGCGATGTCTGGGCGATCTGTCGATCGGTCCCAGATGGTCTGTTCGCTCGGTCAGTCGAGCGCTGGCGCGGGCTGCCTGCCGTGGCCTCACAGCGATCGAGCGTGGCCGTGAGGCGATCGGACGGCTCGTCGCGATGGGGTCTTGCTCGACCCGAAGATCATCGATGGCTGCCGCCTGCTGTCCGTCTCCCCGCATCTGCCGCGTGGTGGGGGGTGGAGGGGAATGTGGGGGTGGAAGGCGAGCGGGTCGGCCCGCCGCAACGCTGCGAGCTCACTGACAGCGGATGCCGAGGTTTTCACGCGCCGTGTCGCGCCTGCCACGATCGAGATCGATGCCGCGGGCTTCGAGCGCGACGCGGGCGCGATTCACCTCCACGTCACCTGCGATCGCGACGGCGATGTTCGCAATCACGTGCTCCGCACCTCGGAGTCGTCGACTGTGCAGATGGCGATCGGGGATCTGTCGTTGGCCGTAGGCGTAGGCATGTTCCCCCTCCCGCTCCTCTGGGCACGTTGCGAGTGATAGCCTCTGTGCCTCGGAACAGGGTCCCGGGCCCGTCACGTGCCCCTTGCCCCGTGGGCGGGGTGGAGGTGCGGGCACTCGCGTCGGGGCGGCGCCCCCCCCAGGTGAAGAGCGAGCTCCGCGTCGCGATGGGCTGGCCGCCGTACACGCCCGTGGCCTGGGCTGGCATCGACGATGCGGCGAAGCGCCAGAACGTCAGGTTCGCGCCGGCGTGCGAACCCTGCCCCTGCAGGTTGAACCGACGCCGGGGGGGGGGCGGCGCCGGACACTCTCGCCAGGGGTGGGGGGCGGGGGGTTGTCCTCCGGACTACATGCGCCCCCCCCCCCCAGAGTCTGAACCCCAGCCTGCGTCTTGGATACCGCTGACCTGCAGGGTTAGAATGGGGATCGCGCGTGGTCGCCCGCCAGGGTGAGCACCATCTTTGGATTCAAGCGCCCCCGCCTGGACCAGTGAGGGCGGGCCTCGCGCGCGTGCAGGCGCCCGCCTGCATGGCCCGTTGTGGCGGGCAGGCGAGTTCGCGCCGTCGCGGGCTGCCCTGCCCGCGCGTCTCCCTGCGCAGTGGACGCGCCCCGCGCGTCGGTCGACGCATCGAGGGGGAGCGACTGCGCCGCTTCCCTTGTTGCGAACGCCCTGGCTGCCTGCCCCCCCGCTCCTGCCCCTGACCGTGAAAGGCATGTGTTTTTGCGCTTTGATCTTTAGTTGTCACGCCGGTTCCCCTGGTGTCCTGATCAGAACTCGCGTTGCTGCGTAGTTGACGCGGTGCCCCTTTGGGAGTAGTTGACAATGTCTTCAGCTGGGGGCAGTTGACCTTGTCTTCTTTTGGGAGTAGTTGACACCGCGTTCGTTTGGGACTGGTTGACACTGTCCTCGATTGGGAGTAGTTAGACTGTCTTCTTTTGGGAGTAGTTGACATTGACTTCTTTTGGGAGTAGTTCCGGCTCGGGTCTGAAAAATCCCTTGACTTCCCGGGAATTCGCCCGAATTCCCGAATTCCTGGGAATTCGGCAAGTTGAGCTTCAGGATTTTTTGAGTTCCCAGGAATTCGGGAATTCGGGAATTCGGGAATTCGCCCGAATTCCCGAATTCCCGAATTCCCAGGAATTCGGCAAGTTGAGCCTCAGGATTTTTGAATTCCCAGGAATTCGGGAATTCGGAATTCGGGAAACGCCCGGAATTCCCGAATTCCTGGGAATTCAAAAATCCTGATGCTCAACTTGCCGAATTCCTGGAATTCGGGAATTCGGGCGAATTCCCGAATTCCCGAATTCCCGAATTCCTGGGAACTCAAAAAATCCTGAGGTTCAACTTCCCGAATTCCAAGGAATTCGGGAATTCTGGAATTGGGGCGAATTCCCGAATTCCCGAATTCCCGAATTCCTGGGAACTCAAAAAATCCTGAGGCTCAACTTGCCGAATTCCTGGGAATTCGGGAATTCGCCTCACTGTTTTCTTTTGGGAGTAGTTGACATTGTTTTCTTTGGGGGGAATATTTGACAGCGTTTTCCATCGGGGCCAGTTGATACGTTCTCCTTTCGGGTGGGTGAGTTCCACGCCGCGCGGGCTGGACGTGCCGCGGCTAGCATGCGTCGCTCGCCTGCGTCCGCCACCGTCCACCCCGTTGTTCCGCTCCATGCAGAGATGCGCGAGCACAACTTGTGGAAACCCAAATGATTTCCCGTGCGAACTCGCTTGGATGTCGAAAAACCATGTGATTTAATGAATTCACGATTTCCAAGACTTCTCTTGGGTGCGTTTCGTTCCGCGCTTGGCGCCGCGATACAACAAGAATATGGTTTTCTTATGGTTTTTTGATGATTTGGGCGAGTTCGCACGGGGGAAAGCACGTGTTTCCTGTGGGCGTCACTCGTCGTGGTCGCACCTGTTCCTCTGGAGTCCAGGAGACAGCTCGCCCTGCTGCGCGGCCCAGTTGGAATGGCATGTTCGCTTTGGTGTCTGAGGGTTCCTCCGCTCATTTAGGTTCGAGATTCTGAAGGCGACGTTCGGCGGCTGGATTTCCGCCGTCCCGCCTCGCTCACTCGGCATCGCTGGCGCCATGGAGGCAGACCGCGCCGCGGGCGCGCAGATGCAGTTGCCCATGTCCCCGCGCGCGTACAACCGCCTCGTGCGCGAGCTCAAGTACGTCAACGCGAACATCCTCGGCCGGCCGGCTCACGGCTACCAGGCGAACCCCGCTGGCACGAAGGTGAAGTTCGCGGGGGGCTTGCTGCCGGCGGCGCCTGCGTCGCTGAAGGCGTGGTGGCGCAAGTACTTCCAGGAGGGCGCCTCCCGCGCGGGCGCGGCGGGGCCGACGCCTGGCCCATCGAGGCCCAAGCCCGCGGCGCGGCTGGCGAAGAGTCGCCGACAGGTGTCGGCTGCTCGCGACCGCAGCGGGAGCGGCCTCGTTGACATCGAGGCTTTCGACGATGTCCTCGCGGAGTTCGCCGTTCCACGCACGACGTTGACCCCGGTCGCCCCAGCGACTCACCGTCGCCGCCATGCGCGCGCCCGCCCAGGCGGCGCGGGGGCGGGGCGGCGCGGCGCCGGCGTCGACGGCGTCGCGCCGAACGAGGGGATGACCGATTCGGCGCGCGGCGACGCGTCCTCCGGAGGCGCGGATGCGACGCTCGAGCAGGCCTCCCCTGTCCAGTCCGTCTTGGAGTCGAACGGGGAGGAGGTGGCCGCGTCGACATTCGGGGACGCGCCC